AGAGAAATTCTTTTGTGTATTTTTTTATTCTTTTTGGTCACTCCGATCATGCTGAGGGGCTGCTCCTTGGGCTGTGCTCGGGGACCATGTGCTGGCTGGAACCCAGGACTCCCACATGCAGAGCATGTGCTCTAGCCTTTGAACGATCCACCTCACCCTGAGTTTTTTTTTTTTTTAATCTATTACTACTTTTAACTGTATGTGTATTTTCCTGCCTTCTAAAAGTATTCCCCCCCCCCCCCCCATGGTATTCTCTGGTATGAACTTCTTTTTCCAACTTTTTTTTTAATTAGAATCACTGTGAGATAAACCCTTACAAGGCTGACCCTGTTTTTTAGTTTATGATCTTGTCTAACTTACAGAAATCTAGGGACCATAGACTTGGAAGAGCTTGCATATTTATGGGTGCTATTGCTTGCATATGTATGGGTGCTATTGTTTTCTCTGCTATCTTGGATCTTACGGTGCTGGAGACCACCAGGACCACCCTGACCATCCCCTGGGCCTCCAGAGCAGCTCAGAAGGCCACGTGGCACCGGGGATTAGACTGGGGTGTGCCATAGCATATTCCTAACTGCTTTATCCCAGCCTCTTGGCTCGTCTTTTCTTTTTCTCTTGCATGCATCCGAACCTGGTTCAGTCCCCAGTAGGCCATACGTTTCCCTGAACACAGAGCCTGTAGGAGCCACTGAATACATCCACGTATTCCTTCTGTGCACCCCCCTTCTTGTCAGGAAAAAGGTGTAAATGCACCTTCAGAGACCTGGGGTGTGTGTCTCAGTGCCTCTCTCAGTACGCTACCCTCGGTTTGCTCTGCAGGCAGCCCCACCCGCCACACGGCACATCTGCTAGCACACCACACAGCTGTTACTAGTAGTGTACTGCATGCTTTGTTTCCTTTTAACCTGAGCTTTTTTCAACACGAAAGAGCAGTAATTTTATTTCTGTTTAAATGCTTCTAGCCCCCTCTAAATTCTGTGGAGAGGGGTGGGTATTCCACAACCAGAAAATGTCACTAATTACCCTTCATCTGAAAAAGAAAAAAATTAAAATGTTCTTTCCAACTCTGTTTCGCTTCTTGGAGTGTCTACTCCCAGTTCTCTTAGGAGTGACAGATCATGGCCAGTTCCACAGGGTGGCATTATCCACCACTTGAAATACAGTGTGACAGAGCTCCTGAGAGGTGACAGGCTGACAGGAAATTATGGAAGCCCAGTCTTCTAGGTGATGCTTGAATGACCTTACGAAATACTCAGAACTTAGGTATTTTTATGCTTTCAAGAGAGAATTCATGTTTCCCTTTAACAAATGCTAAGTGTTAAGAAACAATAACAAAAGAAAACAAACAAACTCACCAAAGACTAGGTGCATATTAAGTACCAACGAGTGTCTAAGAGAGGCCTCACCCTTGAGACTCTTCCTTGCTTGTGGTGAAATATAATTACTCTCAAGGAGTGATGTGTTGTGAAGAAGCAGAAACAGCAAGAAGGGTTCCGTTGGATGGAGAGGTAAAGCCTAACAGGGAGGCTTCTCCAGGACGTAAGTGGCAAGAAGAGCAAATCTTCACATGATTGAAGAGAGCAGAAATGGCGTTGTCAGGAGCTCAACAGTCCAGCCAAGGAAAATAAAAAAGGAAAAACATGATTATGATCGGAATGTGATATAAATGAGAAAGTCAGATGTTAAGGAGTGAAGAAGAGCCAGATCATAAGTGAACTTCAGAGGCTTTGATAAGAAGTCCCCGTACTATGCGAAAGGCAGTAGGGAACTGGATGATATTAAGCAGGAAAATAGCATGCCCCTATTTGTTTTGTTTTTATTTTGGGGTAGGCAGCTTTGGGGTAGGCAGCTATTTTGGGGTAGGCAGCTTTGGGGTAGGCAGCTAGTTCACTGCCGTCCTGACTAGCAAGGAGATGGCGCTGCGTCGATCCCAAAGTGGTGGGAATTAACTGGGCCATCCTGATAATCCCGTTGATGTGTATTTTTTTTAATAAATTTTTTTTTCTTGACTCAGTGAGATACACAGTTACAGAGTTGTCATGATTGGGTTTCAGTCATTCACTAAGAGGCTCACATTCTAGTTAAAGCGACCAAAGTAGAAACATTGACAAAGGAAGGAGGTAGATAGTTTTGGAGTCTATTTGGAAAATAGAGCCAGTGATTTTTATTTCTTATTGCATATGAAATATTGTAGGAAAGAGGGAAATCAAAGTTGATTCCAGCGATTCTAACCTGAGCAAGTGGAAGGGTGGTTTTGCCGCTTGTAACGGTGGACAAAATAGATAAGGGTGGGGAGGGGTGTGGAGAGGGTTATAGTTTGAAATGTCGAATTTGAGATGCATTTGAGATGTCTAATTGGAAGACGCCCGAGGTTAGAACGAGGTTAAGAGGTTTGGGATAAAGGCAGACACTTGTGAGTCTTCAGAGATGTAGTTGCAGTTTAAAAGTGCAGGGACTAATTTAATTCTTATTTTTTAACTGGATGGTGACTTTGGGGTCCGGAGGCATCTCTGGGGTGTTGCTCTCTTCTGAGAGATTTGTGAGTCTCTGGACCGTGGCCGTAAGTGCGCCTACATGGCACATGGGCAGTTCCTGAGCATGACTGCCAGGTTACCGCAGACACAGGGAGGCGGGGGAGATCGCCCATTCCTGAATCCACGCGAGCCTGGGGATTTCCGTCACGAGCCCTGCGTACCTGGGTTTTTCAGCAGGTTCACTCCTCGATGAGGCTTGTCTGAGCCTGTGGCGAGTGGTCATGAGCGTGGCAGCAATTGAGTTCTGGAGGTTTTAGGCTGCCGGGGCTAGTTGGGGCAGGTGGGGGCACCAGAGGAGACAGCCTGGTGTGTGGTCTCTGCGGCGTGTTGCTGTGTTGCTCCCTTCTGAGAGATTTATTTGTGAGTCTCTGGATCATGGCCATTAATAGACTCATATGGCCCCAGAGGCAGTTGCTGGGTGTGAGCATGACTGCCAGGCTCCTGAAAGAGACATCTCATACTCTATCTACACCACTGAGGTACCAAGAGAAGCATACCACATTTGATGCGGGGTGTAAAGTGGAAGGCAACCAATCTTAGGGGGAAAATCGGTGTGTGTGTGTGTGTGTGTACATACATATATAGATGCTAATATATATATTAGTATACAAGGCTCAACCTTTAACACCATGTTAGTAATCTCTTATACAAGGGCTTACTGACTCCACAGTGAAATACAACAATCTTCACACACTTTCCTCTAAGGAAACATTTTTGCATCATTTTTAGCGGATTATTCATAACAAGCAATACAAAATAGGTACTGCTTTGGGGGCAGGCTTGGGGGTTGGGGTGGGAACATTCAAATATGGTGGTGGGAAGGTGTAATGGTGGTGGGATTGATGTTGGAATATTAAATGCAATCAATTATTGTGAGCAACTTTATGAAGAACTGTTCACCTGTTAGCTGTAGAGTCTTACTGGGAAAAGAAAGTAGTGACGCTCCCCTCCCACCAAGTTTGTCACTCCAGGACAATAACTGACCATTGGGTCTTGGGGAATTTTTCCTTAGGAAGACTTTCATCTGGAGAAGCTCATTCTGTTTTGAACACCTCTCTGTATCCCCCACCTCTCCCTCCCTAACGCAGTTATCCAGCGTTCAGCTCAGTCCAGGCTCAAACTCAGGAATGCAGATCCCAGCGTGGAGGGCAGGGCCGTAGCATGCCTGTGTGTGAGGTGGTGTGAGTGCCCTACCCACTGGCCTCTAACTAAATTACCTCAAGTAAAGCTATTTCACTTTACTAGAAGAAAGAAATAAAATTTGCTAAGAAAGCAGAAGATGGTTGGCTTTTCCATAGGGGCAAAGATTTTGTATTTGGGAGGACTAGGCAAACTCAGTATTTGGGAGGGATTTAGCTGAGGAATGGTACCACGTCAGCTTAGCCAACGAACGGAATGAGACTGTCTGGGGGAATTCTTGAAAGAAAACTGTAGGAATGAGCCCATTTGAGGAGTTGGGAGGGGAGAGATGGGGAGAGACTCACAAGTTGTTACTGTTTGTGTTATGGTGTGGTACCAAGTGCGGCGCTGTGTTGTGTTGTGAGGCGATGACAGGATGAACTTAGACCTGAGACCAGATGCTTCCTTTGCAGCTCCCGAGCCGTGTGACCTCAGGTACCTGCTCACCTGTCCAGTGGGCGAGACTTTGTGCCCTTGATTCCTAAGATGCTAACACTTTAGTAACAACTTGGGAGGGAGTAGAAACATTTCCTCATCAGTTTAGTTATCAGTTGTAACCTTTCCTAAGATTTTGCCTAGTTAGAGAAATGTTAATGGGATCTTAAAAGACGTGCTATGGAAGCTAAGCAATATGATCAGACCCTCCTCGGGGGTGTTGGGAAGATTGGTAAGATAATCTGTGTCAAATGGTCATGTAAGTTTAGTATTCAGTGAATTGTAGCTATTACCAACAAATGAAAGACAAGGAAAATAATTTGGGGGCATCTGAAGGAGTTTTGCACAACAAGATCATGTGACTAGGCTTTGGAATAGAATAAGGATGAGGTTTTAATGCTACAGAGATAATTATGAGTGTGCATATGAAAAGAAAAGTTCACCCCTTTATGAACAGACAAGACTTTTGTTATTTGTATTGATGATTTTATATAGTATATATTTCACTCTAAATAAAGAGAATGCGGAATGATGTGGGATAAATGTACTCGTACAGGTTTATTATAGCACTTCTGAGTTTGCTGCTATGTTAGTTCCTAATACGGAAACATTAAGTATTGGCTAACTTACAGATAAATGAATAAACAAGCACTGTTTCATTTATTTATGTATTTATGTGTTCATTTTGCTTTTATTTTATTGTGGGAGTGGGTGGCTGCATAAGGATCATTAGTTCAGTTGTCTAGCGGAAATTCTTCGCTAAGTTTCAAAATTTTTTATGTTTTCATTAGAATTATACCGAAGTTTTAGCTCTTCTTTCTTTTTTTTCTTTTTTCTTTTTTTTTTGCCCAGGTCCAGCAAGACTATGAACCTCTGTTCCAAATGCTTTGCTGGTAAGTGCAGTTAAAGGTTTTTTAATTTAATTTCTTCTTTTGGTTGATTTTAAGACTATCTAAATTTGCCCTTCTTTTGCCTTTTATGCATGGGGTTTTGTTTTCTTTGCTCATGTGTGAAAGTAGTTTCTTCTTACCAAAGTGCTTTCCTGTATTTGTCTGTCTTCTTTGAAAAGAAATACACATAATTGAATCAAGTAAGCTTTTCTTGGGTTACAGCTGTAGGTGTACACTGGGATTGTAGCAGAATATTACATACCCAGTTCTGATTTTGACTTCATCGGTTAACAATGAATATTGCTTTCACTAATGAGCATACAAAAGAGAGTATTTTCATGTTGGAGTAAGGGAGAGAATCATGCTGAATTAAGCTTTAAATAAAAAAACAAATCCAGTTCCTCACTGAAATCACTTTGGTAGGCCATTGAATGACTTTGAACCTTTGGTTTATCATTTATATCATGAATGGCTTGACTTGATGTTTGTCAGAGGCCATCTCTAGCCGTCACATGCTGACTGATTACTTATTACTCTTTCATGAAGTTAAAGCCATTTTTTTTTAAAAAAAGGGACTCTAATCATCTTATTTAAAAGGACAAAGTCTTTAACAATTATGTTTAACTTTCTTATTACTTCATTTTGTCAAAGATAAAGCTTGACACAGTTGAAACGATAAAGATAGATTTTAGTAATACACTAACTACAAGAGGGTCCAGCATGGACGTGTATTTATCTTCAGTTGTACGGAGGTGACTTGAGTGTTTGTTACAAAGACAGAATGAGGTAGTAGGGGTGGATTGTTAGCTTTGCCGAATCCAGCCAGGGGAGTACAGAGTTGATCTATGGATGTGTGACGGTTAGGCCTGAGAGCTGACAGCTATTGAGGTAAGATATCTCCTTATAGAGACTTTGAGATTCTATCCTCAAGGGACATTGAAGGGAAATGGATGAATTTATATGCTGTCTTTTAGTTTTTATAAATCAAGATGGAGAATTAGTGAAGAGACTCACTTGAGCCTGGCTAGAGTTTGGCAAATTGCTATCTTTCATTATGTTGTGTGGGTAAGAAAACAATTGTAGCATAAAGATTTTATGTTCTTGCCTAGACTTGGGGTGGCGTGGAAAGGACCTGGGAGGGCTGGGGCAGATGGCAGTTGGTATCTGTTAAAACTTTGAAATTCTTCAGATAACTTTGTTTTTGCAAGGCAGAAATACTGGTTTTAACCAACTTTTAATATTTCTGCCATGTTAAATGAATACCCTGTATATCTGTAGTTATAGATTTGACTTGGATGCTTCCTAAATGATGAGTTTTACTTTAGACTAATAATGAAAGTAGCATGAGACCAAATGTATACTACATTGTGTGGCTCTCTTGTAGAGCTAGATCCTCATAAAAATTCACCTTGGGAGAAGTCCAGGCACCTTTGATTAAGGTGACTCGTGTAAAATATTCAAGAACCGTTTCAGCAGTTTGCTCTCCAGCTTCTGCTGGCTAGACAAACTCCCCAGCTTGCTTTCTTGCCAATAAAGCCCCCTTTTCTATTTAGTTACTGTTTGTAGTTTTTTAAAAGAACTGTCTCCTAGCTCTATAAAGTTTTAAAGAGTTACTAATAAAGACAGTTTAGCCACGTTCTTTGTGTTTCTTTGGGTTTGGAGTTTTATTTTTTATGGTTATAATTATTATCTTTCTGTTTATCCATTTTTAATTACTCTATAAAACTTTGTTATTTAATCAGTCAATATTTTGGCTTTGGGGATACTTAGCAGTGCTCAGGCCTTCTCCTGGCTCTGTGTTCAGAGATCATTCCTCCTGGGGCTTAGGGGACCACATGTCGTACTGGGAATTGACCGTATGAGATAAAAGTATCCCTGGTACTTTTCTCTGGTTTGCACAGCTATTTTGATTTATAAAAGTATAAAGTTTGTAAAGAAAATAAAAAATCCTTTTTCCCCTAGTGTCATTTGTAAGGAATGATTTAGTAACGTTCTACTGGCTGAAGCACCATTTTTTTTTAATTTAAAAGACAAATATTATTGAATTTTAAAGGTACATTTGTGTTCAGTTCCTGTATGAAGACAAGAGTATAGAAATGCATTATAGTAGCAGAGGCATATAATGGCAAGACTACGCAAACATTACTTTGCCAAAGCTGCTATGAGTGTAAACACTCCTTTAAAGTATATTGTACAGTGTACTTTCAAAGATGGAAAAATAATCTTAAAATTGTCCACGCGGGCCAGGGGTACAGCCCCATGACAATGCATATTTTTATGTGTATGATGTTTAGGATTTTACCGTAACACAAAGCAAATAAATAAAAGCTTTGTGAGTCTTTAGGCTGGAGAGATTTAATGATGTGTGTAGTGAAAAAGTGAATTTGTATGATTTTTACATAAAATTGAATAAAATGAGTAAAAACTTATTTAAAGTCTTTTTGAGGTAGTAAATTGTTAGATTGGGAACTCTGGGTGCTAGTTTAAAGTTAACTTTGATAACTCATCTGTATCTCATAAAATATTCTGCTAAATGATGAGCTTATGCTTCTAATAAGTACTATCATTTCAGATGTTTTCTTTTCTTATGAAAGAGTATTGGACTATTGGCATTGGAGAGATTAGTATAAGGGGTGGGACATTGGCCTTACATGTGCCCAATCTGGGTCTGGTCCCTGTCATATGGTCCCTTGAGCACTGCCTGGAGTAAATCCTGAGTGCAGAGCCAGGAGTAACCTCTGGGCATTGCTGGGTGTGGGCACTGCCCCCCTCGCTGCTCCTACCCCCAGATTTGGACTGTTTGAAATCAGAGGAAGGAAATAACAAAGGAAATATGGAAAGCGAGAGTTACAGAAAAACACTGAAGTTTTCTGTCAAAATGTACCAGGTGGTTGTGTTTCTCTGAACTGTTGGAATAAGAAATGCCTCTGTCTTCCATTTGCTTTTATGTAGAAGAGTGTCCGGTCTATGGCTGAATTTGTTATATGAAGTCCTATAGTACAGTAGAAATGTGAAGGTAGGGCTGGAGAGATTGTACAGAGACAGTATATTTTAAAGCACTTGCCCTGCTTGCTGATGGTCCCTGGCATGACATTAGGCCCTGGAGCACAGAGTCAGGAGTGAGCCCTTAGCATCATCAAGTGTGGCCACCCCTAATGCCCTCCCCATGCCAGGGCTACACCTGGGAGATCTGTGCTGAGGGCTCAGGTGTTTGCTAAGGAAAGGATAGTGTTGAACTAAAAGGACATGCAGTTTATTTGAAGTTAGGAAATAATGACTTAGCTATTGAAATGGACAATATTTAAACGCCTGTGAATGTGCTAGCAGCTGATCTTGCCACAGGTCTTTTCCATTTTTTAATTAAAAGTGTTAATTAGGGCCTTCCTAGCCGTGCTCAGGATACCCAGTGGGTATTCCAGGTAGTACTTGGCCAGGCTCTGTGGCTGGGTAAGTTACAGTGCTTCTGCTCAGAGCTCGTGCACGGCAGCCAGGGCCTGCTTGGGGGAACACGTATTTCTGGAGGCTACACCTGGTGTGGCTCTGTTGGGAAAGGGGTTCGTTTGAAATGGGGATTGAACTCAGGGCTTTGTGAACTCCAGGCATGTGTGAAAAGACTAATCCCCAACCCCCAGATCTTCCAAGTTTTGGGGGGTGGGCTGAGCCTTCCCGATGATTCGTAGCCACCTGGGCCAGGGGTCACTGTGAGCACTCCGGCTGTGCTAGGGATTATTTTAGCCATCCCAGCAGTGCGAGGGTGGGGTGGGCGGTTGCAGGGCTGCACCCTAGTCATGCAGGGGCTTGAACTGGGGTTGACCCATACAAGGCATGTGCCTTATCTATCATATCTCTCCAGCTCAGTGAGAGAAATTGAGGGTCTTTTTGGGGAGAGGGAATTTTCGTTCTGATTTTCCAGTACGTTGAACAATATTATCTGTCAGTATGTTCTTTCATTTACCATTTTATGTTGGATAGTATTCTCTGTCAATTTTCTTTCAGTTAACATTTTTATTTTCAGTTTTTGTAGGACTACTAAAAGAATCAGTTGATGTCTATAATGGTGACAACATTTCATGACATAGTATTTGTGTTATGTTGAATAAATACAATCAACATGTATTGATTGAAATGACTATTTCAGTTTTTCAGATTATGGGTGTTGTGGTTCATTAGTGGGTAGGGAAATCAATTTAATAGGTCATGATCAGCATTTCAAGAACTCGAGGATTGCAAATCATAGTGCATCTGGAAAAGGGTGAGTGTTCTTTTGTGAAACCTCTGAGTTACATATATAAATAAAAACAAAATGTGTAATGGATTTTGATAGAAATATCTTAGTGGGGTTTAAAAGTTTGAAAGACACAGCATTGCAGAAATTTACTGGAAAGCCATCTATTTGTTTTGAATCTTATTTTCTTAGCAGAATAGGATATATTACCTTTTCCATCATCAGGGGTATGAGCCGGTATTTTTGACCTTTGTTCTGGACTTTTGAGTAGCTTGGATTATATGATTGTGTGAAAAGTATGAACTAAACTTGATTATTTATTGCTGTGTTAAAATGTATATGAAAAGTCAAGCAATAGATAAATCTTAAAATACAGAAATGAAATTGCATACAAGTTCATATGCCCAATTTATGAATTGAGTACAAACCCAGTTTATGAATTTTATATACTAATTGGTCTTCTGTATTTTAGGGACAGTCAGTTACTAATTTATGATGACCTCAGGTGCCACTGTATGAAACACATTATCATTATCATTAAAGCAGGTGTCTTCACAGAATGGTTTTGCTAGACAAAGGTATAAATTATAGAAACACCGAATAGTACTATGTTGGGAAGGCAGTTTTATTTATTTGTTTGTTTGTTTGTTTTCATCTATTTGGGCCACGCTGGATGGTGCTCAGGTATTCAGGGGTCAGAGCTCACTCCTGGCAGTGCTCGGGAGACCATATCCAGCTGGGGGTAGGCCTGGGTGGGCTGTGCGGGCTGTGCGCAAGG